AAGAAAGAAAGAAAGAAAGAAAGAAAGAAAGAAAGAAAGGAAGGAAGGAAGGAAGGAAGGAAGGAAGGAAGGAAGGAAGGAAGGAAGGAAGGAAGAAAGAAAAATTAATTCAAGGACAGCACCAACTACTACAATCACACTTCCAGTTTGAGGACAATTATATCAATTATATGAGACCCTCTCAAAAAATTTAAAAACCTTAAAAATAAGATTAAAAAGCAATTCCAACATTAAAATACTCTAGAATATTATGATTCTAAATTTACTTAGCTCTCCCTCTTTCCGTATGTCAATACCACTAGAATTCTCGAGGTGTTGCCAGGCATGATAGTACATATCTATAATCGTAGAAGTCAATAGGCTGAGGCAGGAAGGGAGCTGAAAATTTGAGGGTAATCAAAGTTATACAGGAAAGCTGTCTCAAAACAAAAGAAAAAAACTGTCAGCGAAAATGAACATCAAGACAAAATGGATCAGGTGATAAATCAAGAGTTAATAAAATTGGCCAAGCAGTGGTGCATACCTTTAATCCCAGCAACACTGCAAGTTTGAGGCCAGCTTGGTCTGGTCTACAAAGGCATTCCAGGACAGCCAGAACTGTTACGCAGAGAAACTCTGACTCAAAAAAACCAAATAACAACAACAGGGATATTTATTATTACTAATCCACATACTAGACAGAGTGTCATTTCAAATAACCAGATGGATACAGATTTAAAACAAGGGGTGGGGTATTAAAAGAGAAAGTTACAAAGTAACAACAGGGAAGTGTAGTTACTCAGTCTTGAACTTTAACTACAATGTATTTCACAATAACTGAGACTGGCAAATACCCTCCCAGAAATAAAAATCATTGTTTCAATTATCAGAGGGAATGAAAAAGGAAACAATAAAAATATGAGGGTTATTGAAAGCTGTGAAACCTTTACAACAAGCACCAAAATTTTTTATCTAGAATCTATGTGGACAAGAGACATAGCAAAATAAAAAACCCCAGGTGCCAGGCATAGTGGAGAATACTTGTAATCCCTGGCAGTCTGGGAGGCCAAAGAAGAACTGCTACCAATCTGAGGCATCTGGGTTCAGGTTGTGCCTTCAATATTTAAGAATAGACCTCTTGCCTGGCTGTGGCTGTGCTCGTCTTTAAGCCCATCACTCAGAAAGCAGAGACAAGCAAATCTCTTTGAGTTGTGTACCTGGTCTACAGAGCAAGTTCAGGACAGATTCCAAAGCTACACAGAGAAATCCTGTCTTGGAAAAAAAAAAATGCACCTCTTTAAAACCAAATGTGATGGCACATACCTTGAATCTCAGCACTTGGGAGGCAGAGGCAGGATCTCTATGAATTCAAGTCCAGCCTAGTCTACACAGCAAGTTCCAATTCAGTCAGAAACAGAAAGTGAGACCCTGTCTCAAAAACAAACAAAACAAAACAAAAACCTTTGATTTTTATTAAAAGTACTACAAAGAAAAGGGAAGGTTTCATACATTTTAGACTCCATTCTAAGCCAGTAGGTAGTCAAAAAGAAGAAATACCAGTTAAATACCTGTTTTCTTTGTTCCTGTCAAGTACATATACTTCTACCTTACCGCCTCAAAAAAAAAAAAAAAAAAAAGGAAGCTCCCTAACATCTAGCAGTCTTCAGCTTTTCAGCTTCTATAGCACTTTCTGAAGCTGATCCCCAATTTCCCCCTTTCAAATACTGATTACTTGCTTATATAACTTTAGGTTCAGCCGTAAAATCTTAGATCGAATAGATAAACAATTTCAACTTCAAAATACTATCAAATTCCATCTAACTGCATAAAACACTGGAGCAAATAAAGAGAATAAAAATGGTACTCACTCTAAAGACACTACAATAGACCTTTAAGAAAAGTACACCTCGCAAGTGGATTCATTGTCCCAAAAGGGATACAGTAACTTGAATACAGAAGGGAATGCATGAATCTCAATGTGAGACTGACAAGTAGAACATTAACTCAAAAAAAAAAAAATTCTCTTCTTAGGAATTAATCACACAACTTCACCAAAGCACTACAGTCACATTACACCCCTAAACTGTCCAGTTCATTCCAAACCACACACAGCCAAGCTCACCCCAACCAAACAGTAAAGATGTGGCTATTGGCTGGTCACAAGACACCCTACCTTGTCTCTGCCTGAAGCAAAATTTTACTTAAAGTCAAATGTGCCTACTGTTCCTGCTGAGCTAACAAAAATCAGCCTGCAAATGACCACAAACTGAATGACAACTGCTGGCATTAATTAATAAAAAAAAAAAAAAGACTATTTCTAGGCTTTCAGAAGTTCATCATGAAAGGCAATTAAAAATAACTTTTGAGACTTTTTGTTTGGAGACCGAGGGCTGAGAAACGTAGTGATGAACAAGGAACATAAACCTGAAGAAGTTGAAGCAGCCAGCTTTGTTAAAACCAAGTGGCCACTTGCCAACACTTCTTCATACGTGTAAGACCAAACACGATGATCCTAGGCTCCCTCTCGGTTCACACTGGCTTCTCATCATATCTCCAATTAAGAAAGATCTCATAAACATTTCAATTTTGAAAAGTTAAAGGGACTTTGATAAGTCAAAACAAGAGATTTTCTAAAGCTTCGGAGAATCAATATGGAAACAAAGCTTGAAGCTGTTCAGGATCTGAGCCTCCCCCCCTCAGGCCCACAAAAAGCACACATTTTAAATGTCACACAAACAGCCTATTCACGGGCACCTAGGGCTTAGATTCCGGCACTGGAAAGGGGGCTAGCTTCGGTTTAAAATCTCAGCGGGGAAGAAAAGGCAGAATTCTGACTTGCAACTGACGAAACTCGGAGAACCTCGAATCGAACTCTCCGTCTTGGTTCGAACTTCACTCGCAACCATTTTCCGATTAGGGCTCTCGCCTCCCTATAAAGGTGTCATTTGCGAATGAAAAGGCTAACAAGAACCCCCCCACACCCCCTGGACTCCTGTACCCCATGATCCCTTCCCAGAGAGTGGAAGCAACAGCAAAGTGGAAGGAACAAAGCACTGACGTCAATTACGAGATTAACCCTGAGCACGGGCAGCTGGAGGAGAGGCCTAAACACCAATACCCAAAGCCCAGCCATCGCGATCGCCAGGTACCAGGCCCATTCCGACCGGGAAGGAGGCTTTCTCGTATTCTAACCCAGGTCCCCGTATTTTCAGTTAAACCCCATCGACAATCAAGGACGGAAATTCCGCCCCCCCCCTTTTTTTTTCTTTCGGTGGAGGGGAGATGGGGAGTAGGGGTGGGGGGAGGTGCGCAGGATCGCGAGAAGGAAGGCGAGAACTAGTAGAGAGATGATAGCCAGAATCCGGGCCTATTTTTCTCTTTACGAATGACTTGAGTCGGACGAGGCATAAATTTTTCAAGGGATAAATCCGCCGACCGAATCTGAGGGAGGAATGGAGGAAAAGGACGACGGGGGAGGGGAGTGGATAAAAACGGCCAGAAGATGAGCGTCTAGAACGTTGGCTGGGAATAGGTTGGCCTTACATTTTTTTTATTATTTTTTTTTCTTGTTTGAAATTTATTTCTGAGAGAAAGTGGGACAAGAGAGCGGGCGACGCCGGACCCAGCGGCCCCCCGCCCCAAGGGTCTCCGCGAGCGTCCGCGGCCCGAGCCTCGCCATCCCCGCGGCACAGCCGCGCCTCAGTCAGACGTCAGTCAGTCAGTCAGGCGGCTTCTCACCTCCAGTCCCCGCTCCGCTAGGCCCGAACCATCTCCCGACCGCGGCGGCGGTGGCGGCGGCGCCCGGCCAGCACCTTCACCGGACGAGCATTCGGGCCCGCCCAGGAGGCGGCGACCGGCTGCCAAGGGCGAGGGGCAGCGGCGGATCCGGAGGCCGCGGGGAGCCGAGGCGGCGCACCTCACTCGGCGGACGCCAGGGTTCCGCCCCGCTCCATGACGGCCCGGCCGAGCCCGGGACGGGTGTCTGAGCCGGCGGCGGGGGCGGGCTGACGGAGCCCTGGCACCGAGATCCCCGCCCCGTCCGCTGGGGGCGGCGGCGGCGGCGACGACTCGACTCCCGCAGCCCGCACTGTGACTGACGCAGTGGCTGCGGCCCATGTGACCGGGGCCGGGCGGCTGCGAGCGTCACGTGACCAGGCCGCGCCCCTCCCGCGGGCAGCGCGGGGGCCGCCTGCTCGCGGCTCGCGAGGCGTCGCCCCCGCGGAGTTGACGTGCGGACTGACGTGCGGGGCGCCTGGGCCCCGCGGCCTAGGGGGGCGAAGCGCAGGCCGCAGCGGATCCTGCGGGAGCGGCGCCAGCGTCGGGCCGGCCGACCGAACCCGGCTCCGGGCACACGCCCTCCTGCGTAGCCCGCTAGGGAGGCGCCGCGGGCCGGGGAGGGGCCCCCCGCAGCCGGGTGGACCGGTTCTGGGGCTCAGGTGAAGGCCGGGCCTCGGCCGCCCGGAGTCCCGCAGCGCTCCGCGGGGCAAGGGAGGTTAGGGTGACGTGGATGTCCGCAGCTCGTCGTCCACAGCTGCGTGCGTGTGACTTCGTGTGGGAGGATGAGCCGGCCTCCTGCATCATCTAAACACACGGGCGCGCGCGCACGCGCGCACACACACACACACACACACACACATCGTGGAGACTGGCGTCGTGGCAGGCCTGTGATTCCAGCGCTGGGGCCGCCGAGGCCGGGAGGATCGCCACGGATTCGGTCACTGTGGGTTTCTCGGTGGATTCAAGGCCAATCTGAGCAACTAACAAAACCCTGTCAACACAACAGGAGAGAGCGAACACACACACACACACACACACAGTCTTTCTGAATACCCATCACCTCTGCCAGTCGGGTCAAGACGTAATTTAACTGAGATTAGTGATTAGACAGACAAGGTTTTAAAGTCTCCTGAAACCCAGTAATAGTACTGCAAGAAAGGTGTTCTCTTCGTGTTTATCTGAAAAACACACAATCCTGTCGTTGGTGTCACATGTCACCTAACCTTTCTTGTTTGATGGCAACTCATGAAGATTCTCCACCACTAACATCTTGGAACATTTCACTCATTATTTTTAAATTAAGTTTTCATAGTCTGGAATCTCACAATTGGAGAATTCAATCTCAACGACACACTGAATTCTAGGCAACGTCTCTCAAAAACACTGATCTGATGGCCCGTGCTTTTGATCCCAGTAATGGAGGCAGAGGCAGGAGTATCAATGTGAGCTTGATGTCAGTCCGATCTACATACATATCCATCTCCAGGCCAGCCAAGGCTATATCGTGAGACCCTGTCCCAAAAATCAAACACTAAATAAATCCTAGAGTCTTTAAATTTTTATTTTATTTTCAAGACAGAGTTTCTTTGTGTAGCCTTGGCTGTCCTGGAACTCACTCTGTTGACCAGGCTGACCTCGAACTCACAGAGATCTGCCTGCCTCTGCCTCCCCAGTGCTTGGATTAAAAACATGTGCCATCACCACCGGACCTCAGGAAGGTTCTTGTTCCTCAGTTAATTCTCTCTTGAAAACCAGATACATACACACCTGAAGTACCTCAAAAATGCCCAGGTATTTCTTAATCTTATCAAGCTAACAGTAAAAATGAACTCAGCTTGATGTGATGATACCCGCCTCATGCTAGCTAAGGAGATCCCAGAGCTAACTACATTGCTGAGAATGGCCTTGAATTCCCCGTCTTCCTGCCTTTGCATTCCCTGTGCTGGGGCAGTAGATGGGCACCCTTATGCTTGGCTTAACAATTCTATCACTGTTCGAAGATCTGAGACTCAAGACGGTCTTCGTAGGTGCTTCTGTAAAGTGAAAACCAAGTGACATAATTCCATTATACAATGGCATGGAGAAAGCGTTCACATTCCAAAAGTGGGGAATAAGAAAACAGCAAGAAAAGATCAGACCAAAGCAAGAGCAAAGCCCACCAGTGTAAATGTCAAATCTTGCTGTTCCATGTGCAGCATCCAGAGTCTGTAGTGGCATCATCCGCGTTCCAATAGGCTCAGATAGTCTGGGATGGGTTGTAGTGGCATCATCCGCGTTCCAATAGGCTTGGATAGTCTGGGATGGGTTGTAGTGGCATCGTCCGATTCCAATAGGCTCGGATAGTCTGGGATGGGTTGTAGTGGCATCATCCGAGTTCCAATAGGCTTGGATAGTCTGGGATGGGTTGTAGTGGCAAAGCTCTTGCTTAGCACACATAAGGCTCTGGGTTCAATCCTAGTTCCACAAACCCCTAGTACCTATAAAAAGGAAGAGAATCCTACTATCCTCTTCTGGCTTGTTTTCTAAAGAAAGAACATGGGCCAGTGAGGTGGCTCTGTGAGTAAAAGCCTGACAATCTCATTTCTGTTCTAGGAACCCAAGGAAGAGAGAAGACTGACTCCCAAGAGCTGTTCTCTGGCATCTATACATGCCACGTGGTTCTTGGTACACATGCAATAATAACACTCAAAAATTGTGTTAGAAACAGATTCTCATCATGTTGCCTTGGCTTGCCTAGAACACACCATGTAGACCAGGCTGGCCTCGAACTCACAGAAATTTGCTTGCTTCTGCCTCCTGAGGCCTGAGACAAATAGCATGCATCCCCATACTCTTTAATAAAATTTTTATTTAATTATATGTATGGTATGGTTATGTGTTTCTGTGTGGGGTTAGTGCAGCACCTCCAGAGGCCAAAAGAAGGTATTGGATTCCCTGGAGTTACAGATGGTTGTGAGTTGACTTTTGTCGGTGCTGGGAACTGAACTTTGGTCCTCTACTGGAGCAGTAAGTGCTCTTAAGTACTGAATAATCTTTTTTTTTTTTTTTTTTTGAGACAAGATCTTACTATGAAGCCTTGGCTATATACCATCCCCAGCTTTGACTACACTACTCTTGATTTCACTATGGAGAACACTTTCAGGATACTGGGATGTACCACAGCTGGTAGAAGAAGGCTTGTCTCACATGAAAGTCATGGGGTCCATCCCCAACACTGCACAAAACAAGTGTGGCATCGCATGCCTACAATCTTAGCACTCAGACGTGGAGGTAAAAGGATCAGGAGTTGTTTGGTTGACTTTTCAAGACATGGTTTCTCTGTCCTGGAACTTGCTTTGTAGACAGACCAAAGCTGGCTTCGAACTCACAGAGATCCACCTGTCTCCACCTCCCAAGTGCTGGGATTGAAGGCATGCACCAGTACCGTCTGGCAAGAATCAGGAGTTTAAGGTCATCTTTAGGTACAGAATAAGTTTAAGGCCAATTTAGGGTACACGAGACACACACCTTCACCTTCCCCACCCCCGAAAAAGAGCATTTCAGGATGAGTCAGAAGACAGTGGAGTTAGTGCGCTTATTGAAAAAGATTTTTGTGTGTTTGAAATAGAGTCTATCGCAGTCCAGACTGGCCCCAAAGGACTAACCTTTTGGCCTCTACCTCCTAAACGCTAGGATTACAATCTTACCCTGCCAGGCCCAGCTTTAAGTGTTTTATCAATGACTACATATTCAATCTTGTCAGCTTCTGAAGATACATTGTTTAAAAGGTTTCTAAGGAACTTTGTTTCTTTTGGTTAATCAGATCCTAGGTCATTCCTGAGGTGCCTTGGATGTGGGTAGAGATAAGATAAAGTTACAGACGTGGGCTGCAGAATGACTTAACCATTAAGATCACTTGCTGGTCTTTGAAGAGGGCTCAGGTTTAGTTTCAAAGACCCACATGGCAGTTCACAACTGTCACTCTAGCCCCAGAGAATCTGACACCCTTTTCTGACCTTCATGGGCTCCAGGTGTGTGTGTGTGTGTGTGTGTGTGTGTGTAGAGCGAGTACTGCACAGACACACATGCAGGCAGAACATCCAATCGTAAAATAAATAAATGGATTAAAATCTTAAAAAAAAATAATCCACAGGTCACAGAAGTCAGAGGAATCCCTTACTACACTAGGTCCACAGTTCAGGAGTTTTTTTTAATCACGAAGTTTGGAACCTTGATTGTGAGATTTTTAGAAAATTACAAGGTCACAACTAGGAAAGGAATAAAGTTAAACATTACATGAGATTAGGCCTTAAATATGGTTGCTGCTGTTTTTAACACTCTTATTTGCCAAGGCTTGCCAAGTGCCTGCCAGCCCTCAGGAGGCAGCTGCAGGAGGGTCCTAGTAGTTTGAGGTCAGCCTGACCTCATAGTGAGTTCCAGGACAGCCAGGAATACAAAGTGACACTCTGTTTCAAAACAAGAAAACAAAACAAAAATCCTCAAACTAAAAAGACTCATTTAAAAAAGAATTTTGTCTCCATTTCCTCCATCTCAATAGTGAACTTTGTTATTTGTGACAAAATTCTTGACTCTCGGCCTCAGGTGAAAGGGACTAGGTTCCTCTCCTTCCTTCTTCCAACTCTCCCTTTCTCTAGGCTTTGCCTGAGCACCGCACCCTGTGGGGGGGTTTGTTTACTTTTTTTCTCCTGCTGCCTGATTGCCGCTTTCCACCTGGCACTCTTCCATCTGTTTCTGAGAGGTGACACAGATCTTATCGAGACCTTTTCTCTCTTTCTCCCCGTTATCTTTATCTGGCCATCAGGGCCAGCAACATTTCTGAAAGGCTTAAAATCCTTAGTACTATTTTTTTTTTTTTTGCTTTCATATACTTTTTTCATTGAAACTCAACAGTGTCTTACTTCTACAATTTTTTTTCTTTAAAAAAAAAAGCCACATTCTCCACATTCACACCACGACTGTGAAGAAGGCAGTCTGGAGAGAGGGCTCAGCTGTTGAGAACACTGGCTGGAGGACCTGGATTTGCCCCCCCCCCCAGCACCCACATGGCAGCACACACCCTCACACAGAAATACCTGCAGGCAAAACACTAGTACATCTGAAATGAAAGTAAATAGGTTATAAAAGGAAAAGACTGTCTCAAAAAAAAAAAAAAAAAAACTCTGCAATTAGCTAGCTATGTCAGGCATCTGCTGAAGAGGACTAGAGCAGTCCAGCAGGAGGGAGCTTATCAAGTTGCAGGAGGAGGAAGCAAGAAAGGAGATGGTAGTGTTCCTGAGGTCTCAGCCCTAGATCAGGAGATAGCAGAGGGAGGGCCTAACTCCAAGGAAATGCTGCAATGACTTCGGCTGTTTCTCTAGCCAGCCGGTCACTCAGCCTACAGTTGGGACAAATTTCAAAATACCACATGGAGCTGTTTGAATTTATTCTGTAATGTTTTCAGTAAATCTGGGGACAACTTAAAATAAAAATTTATATGCATGTCTGTGGTCAGTTCTCTCTTTCTACCATGTGGGTCCCAAGAATTGGACTCAGGTTGTCAGACCTGCTAACGAGTGCCACTGAGCCATGGAGCAAGTCCAAAATTTAATTTTTAATCACTTTATTTAGTTATCCAATGTGTGCATGTATGTGATGGTGAATTGTATAATCAATTCTCCCCCCCCCCTTCTTTTTATGGTTTTTTGAGACAGAGTTTCTTTGTGTAACAGTCCTAGCTGTCCTGGAACTCACTCTATAGACCAGGCTGACTTCAAA